AACAATCAAAGTGAATTATCTGTGAGGTGTATGTAAGCATACTTACTGAATCACAATGTGTGGAACCCTCAGTATTATTATACAATATAACAATTGGGATTATATATGTATTTCACTTGAACAGATTTCTACAAAGGATAGACGGTAACCATCCGTAAACGTGCATTGTTTATTTAAGGACAGCTGATGGTCCAACACATGCGTTTAAACGACTTAAGCAGGTGATTTATTGGTTTTAAGAAGAAATCTAATTTCTATTTGATTACAGACTATATTGTACCTTTAAACGCCCGTTCAGAATTTCAGATCTTATGTTTAACATATAAAGCTAACATATACATATGCATGTATATTATGAGTTTTACAAGCAGTTGACGCGTTTGCGTAGCCATTGAACATCTGACATTAGGTCAGGGTATCGCATTGTAACATGGCCAGCGATTGGCTGAAAAAAAAGTGCAGGGAAAACCGTATGATTCAATTTATACATGAGGTGATTGGATGAAAGTGGGATATTTTTAAGTATAAAAACTAATTTAAAAAGTAACACTACATTGTTTTCTGAAGAAAATGAAATATTTCATGAGTCTCTGTGATAATTTTGACTTGGATATTTGCATTTATAAAAAGTGCATGTCAGTCCTGTGATCAGCAGAAAATTTCAATGAAATGGGGGGGGGGGGGGTTGGGGGTAATCCTCTTTGAAGTCATTTTGCAAAAAATTTGGTTGGCTACCCCTATATAACAGGAACATTTTTATGTGTCAGGCATTTCATTCTGCTAGAAAAATTACCTCTTTAGCATGAAAACTCAATTTTAAGGTAGGATTAGGGACCATTTCTTATAATGTAAGTCTATGGAAATATCAATGTGAGTGTCTGACCATTATCTTCTTAATATTTGCCTTTCCCGCGCTTCGATAAGAACACTGTAAAATTGCTGTCAATAGTAATTTGCATCATTATTGTCATACAAGATGCTGACTGGATATACTGAAGAAAATATATGGCTTGATTGACATAAATATTGACCGATGCTCTCATAAAGATGACGTCAAAAGTTCAACGGCTACGCAAACGTTTACTCATAAACATAGGAATTCTATGTTAGATAATATCATAATGATTGGTTTAAATATATTTATTCCCGAAAGTATATATAATGTACATACAAAAATATAACAAACAAAATATTTTTACACAATGGAAAAGGATGAGAATGAAAGACAAGTCTTATAGAATTCTTCTCCTTTGGCGAACTATATGGTTTGTCTTAAATAAGTTTATAGTTAGTATATACTAGACAAGGGAATAAGTATAAATTATACACACATATAAATATATATTTATATATAAACTTATATAGAATATATTAACTATAAGTAGGTGTCTAAAATGTAAGAATATATATAATAGAAGAAAACGAAATAGTGGGAAAGAGAAGAAAGAGAGTGAGAGAGGATTATAGTCTCAATAAGAGTGGATCTAAGTAAATCTTTTCGTTTTTTTTCTATATATAATTTTGTACATTTGTAAATATAATAACGTTGTCCTGGTATGTAAGAGATGGGTTACCACAGAGAAGTTTATGAAGGTTTATACTGAAGTCTTGCAAGTTAAGGAGGAGTGTTCTGCGGACGGCATCGTATGCACAACACTCGAAAAAGAAATATTAGGTAGTTTCAATTTGCCCACAAGTACACAAAGGGGTAAGAGAAACGGTTTTCAAAAACAGGTGGTGATTTAATGCGCTGCAGTTCGTTCGAAGCCGAGTGTGAAGGACCTGCAGTTTACGACTACCTGTATAAAAGTATTTTGGTGTATGTTTTCTGTCCTTGTTTAAGAAAGTTTTAAATGAAGATATTGTAGGGCTGTTTTGTATTATAACAGGCAAGTTGTTCTAATCACGAATAACTGATGGCAAGAAAGAATTGTGGTACAGAGTAGTCCTTGATGTAATTCCTCTGATATCTTCAGAGTTTCGTAAGCTGTATCGGGATTGATCTGGATTTGGTATTAATGGTGTCATCTGGTTCTGTATATTATCAAAGCTTTGTTGGAATTCCTTTTCACCTGGTGTCTTAGGACAATAAACCAGTAAGGCTTATGCTGCTGACCGTACCAAGTCCGCGCCCCTCAATGTTCCTCAGATGTAAATTTTACTTTTTGCTTCATGCTATTGCGGTGATACTTTTATGCACCCTCTTGTTTTATTTCGTCTACTGTTAGTATCTTCCCTTTGTCCCTAGTTTAAAAAAAAATTGCACCTCTTTCCCCTACACCCTTTTACTTTTATAGCCATTTTCTTATCGGTTCTATGATTTCCTATAATGTATTATTTAAGTCAAAATGCCCTGTCTTGCTTTTGTTTGGTGTCCTGCTGGGCCTTGCCGGTCGTGTGTTGGTTGGGTGCGTTCACTGCATGAATGTCACCTTTTCTTGTTAATTTTGTTTTTCATATTTTTTGGGTTTTAACGGGCTTGTCTTGCGATATTGAGTTTGCTACATGCAGAATAACCGATGCAGTTTAATTGAGATTCTTGAGAATTGGATCCCTGATCGTTTGCGACTGAGTTCTTGTCCAAAGTGCCGGTACTTAAATTGTTTCTCTAGGAGTTTGGTTCTTCCCCATGTTTCAGCGACATAAAATAACATCTACATGTTGCTGTTAAAGAGCTTTATCTTCGTTGACAGATTGATGTTGGGGTTCCTCCACACCGACCTCAGAGTTGCAAAAGCTAGTATGTCGGCTTTTCCCTATCCTCCATCTGATATGTTATTTTGTACCCCTTCCTTGCTGACTATGGTGCCCAGATATGTGAATTAGTCTCAATGTCTTCATTTTTCAGTGCCTTGTATTTTTAGAATCCAGTACAGTATAGGAAGTTTGAAATTTTCCTCATCGACACGAACTTTAAAGTTAGAAATACTAGAAATATGATCAACAATATCTTGTTCAGAAACATAGATTTCAGAATAAGTAGTACTGTAAAGTTCATTTTGTAATGGATACGTCATACGATGAGTATGTTAATTTGACCGCCTTGCCAGCCGGAACTAAAACAAAGTTTGAGTAAAACACTAGTTACTATATTCTTTCTGAGATGAATTAAAGTATGTGTTTAGGTGGTAGAAGATGTTTATTTCCACGATAAAATTCAATGTGTGATTCTATGATTTTGAATATGATATGTTTCCATGAATTAAATGCATTAATAGGCACCATTTAACTGAACATTCCTCGATCGCTTCAGTTATCTGACTACGACACACATTAAAATCAATATCGGAAGGAATTCTACAATGAGTCCTTTAAAATTCTCTTTCGTTTATAATATCAAAATAACCATTGATAATATGGCCAAAATCTAAATTACAAAACTTGGTGTAGTTGGTGTAATAGTCTCGACGTCAAGTCGGAAACAATTTTATTGTAATTGTATTTGATATTTGTAACAGATGATTTATATTAATAGCAAATAATTGTAACAGTAATAGCAATATTAATAATAGTTATTTTTAATTTACGTTTGATGTTATCATTTTTAACTTATTTTCATGGGATTGAGATTTGCGTTTTCGTATGTTAAGAAAGAAAAAAATGTCTATACTGGGATCTTTATAACATATATTACAATGCTGAAGAAGAATCGTTAATACTTTGTTCCACTGGCTAAATTGTTTCACGTTTAAAAGAATGGCCGACTTTTATAATATGTTAATACAAAAGAGAAGTAATTTTGCTGCGATTTCTCATTTTATGTTAAAACAAATTAAATGTGTTGACTTTCAGTCTATATCTGAATGAAAAAATGTACGCATCCAGATTAATGCTTATTTTCATGAAAATTTTGAAAATGTAAATTAAAAGTATAATATTGTAAAGTGACCAAAAGGAAGCAAATTTCACATCATTAAAGGCACTTGCAATCCACTTTAATTACAAAAAAAAATGCAAAAAAATGTCCTTTCTGCGTTAGTAACTCAGTAGACATATAGTTATACATAATGAAACATTAACCATTAACCGCTCATAATATGTAAATTATTACTTGAATCCTGAATCTTTCTTCTTTTCCTAAAATCTCAGTTCATTTTTCTCAAAATTCATTGTATTGAGATATTTTTCTCATCTGCAGGCATGCTGCTTTAAATGTTCTACCATCATCTGAAGAGGTAATAGTAGACTGTGATAATTAGAATAACTATTGTTTAAAAAAAGGGTACACTCAAGATCTATAAGGAAAATTTGTGTGTTTGATATTGTATTTCTTTAAAATTGAATGTTTAACAGGTGAAAGTTTAAGACGTAGCGAATTATTGAAAATGTTAGAATTACAATTTAAGGATCGTGGAATATTAACCGGATTAACAGTTGGCAAATTTATAGTTTTGTTATGTGAACCTAACCCAGAGCTTAGATATTTGGCACTTATCAATGCCTTGCGGACCTCCATACAACTTTAATGCATCTGTATCAATATTTGCCCCAGTGCGGGATCACTTGGGTTATATATTGGGACTCATTATATATTTTTATTGTTTGAGTTTTAACAAGGTTTTTCCATATTTTGGCTGTGTGACCTAGTTTTTGATCTGAGGTGACCCATATTCAAAGATTACATAGAAATCACCAAAACAACTTTTCTGACTAATTTCAAGGATTTTTTGGATCAAAACAGTAACCTCTAGAGTTTTAACAAGGGGTTTTCCATATTTGGGTTGTGTGACCTAGTTTTTGACCCAAGGTGATCCATATTCACACACGATGTAGAAGAAATCATCAAAACAACCTGAACCTATCTGACCTATTTCCAGGATATTTAGATTGGAAGAGTAGCCTCTAGAATGTGAACAAGGTTTTTCGATATTTGGACTGTGTAATCTAATTTTTGACCCAATGTGAGTTAAATCTGTATAATTTATACATGTTTAGAGTTTTAACAAAAGATAACTTAAACATAATTAAAAAAAAACAACAACAAAAAAAAAACAACAAAAAAAAGCTTATTTTTACTCTTGTTTTGTGTTATTCAATCTATTCTTAGTCAACAATCAACATTTCATTGCAGATGTTATTAAATGTAAAAAAAAAGAAATGAACAAATTGCTATACATTTCCTTGAGGTTTTGCCCAGTGGCAATCTATATGCAAAACAGAAAAATAAAGTTTTTCTTAGCTTATGGGCTATCTGCCCTTTGAAGAACATAAAATATGAAATTAAATTAACGACAAATAACTCAAAGATGGGATTTGCAACACCACTAATAATAATTTTCGCTTAATATATTTATGTAATCTTATTCTGTAACAGTGCTCAGTTTAAATAATTCCTATCATACTTTTTTCTTTCTGCTTATACGGTAGCAAAATAATCTGCTGAAATATGCAGAAGCATTTGCAGAACTTATTTCTAATCAGCAAAATATATAGGACTTGGGATACATAATAATGCATTACAATACAATGACTTATAAAACGACATTTTATTTTAGCAGTAACATCCTCTTACATACAAAGAAAACGGCTCGTGCACATTGCAAAACAATTTTTTTTACAAATTCTCGATTTATAACACACATTGCACAAACATTACACATAACACAAAAATATGCTATTAAAATCATAATATATTGAATTACATTTATTGAATTTCTGACCGAAGACTCCTTAAACAATGTGTATTGTATGAGAATAACTACAAAAGAATTGTTTGAACTCCTACACTTCGCCTTTTTTAAATCTTATTTTAATAAATAAATATTTCTGCACATAAATTAAAGATTTAGGGTTAAATTGAATTTTATGCCCTTTAACTATAACCTCGGACAGTCAAGTTATTGTCTAAAACAAGATATTCGCTTGCAGAACATAGAGCCAAACAAAATGAGACTGTAAAAGCATAAAATGATTGTTCACGTATGACAAAATAATGACAAAATAATGATTGTTCACGTATGACAAAAATGCGATGCTGTTATTCCCCTGAAACTATGTTGGAATTTATAGCAAACGTCCAAACATAATCAACAACATTAAGACCAAAATGTGTTTATTTGATCAGTAATCGGAGTATCACAGCTGCACTTTTGTTGACCAAATGCACATGTTTTACAATGCATGTGGCTACAGGGCAGAACCAGAACCACAGCACAATTTTTCAAACTCTTGCGGCATGTCTTACATTGAGTCTTTTTATAAACTTCTTGATAGCGATCTCTATTAGAGATACCAGAGCAAGCATCGGAATTATCTATTTGCGAAGTCATGCTTTCCTGTATCGGGCACTTCCCCATTTCATACCTTAAAGACTTGTCTCTTCCATTATCTGAAATATTAATATTTAACAAGAAGGTCTTAATGGACATACGTACATTGCTCACTTTGATAAAGTTATGTTGACAATGGCTCACATGTTGCGGTTGTTCAATATGCCTTTTCTTCAAATATAGCTTATGCACTCCGCTTACTTACTAACATTAATCTTATGTAAAGTTTCCCCATAGATTCTAAAAGATCTAAAAGTTAAGTGCCGATCCATTAATTGAAACATGAACTGAAAACCTGTTAACAGTTTTCTATTGTGCTCTTGTACTTCCTATAATTGCTATAGACATTTATTTGCGATACACCTACCATGAGAGCAATTGTGTCAACTCTATCAATACTGAACTCGAGTTAGTCGAAGGGAAATTCAGAATGTTACAGGAGAAGTTGGCGTCTATTCATTTATAAACACTATATTAAATTAGTTTAAGGTATTTCTATCTGTTTGCACAAATTAAGAGCAAAGATTACTAGTTTTTACGAGCTTGATGAAGGATTTTCTGAGTTAATTGAGGATCCTGATTTTATTCAAAAGGATTTCTGTTTTTAAGTTGTTGTTAAAAAATCTGGAAACATAATGATCCCTTGGAAGCATTAATCACAACAAAATTACACAAGAATTGCAGACTCGGTTTGATTGAGTCTGTACATGAGGGATAATGAATAAGTGCAACATCCCTCACGCCCTCTAGCACAAGCTTGAGCGGTACTCAATTCTCAACACTTAATAGTGTGGCATCAATGATCCCGAAGGACCATAAAAATATAACAACACTGAAGTGAAGTACAGGGCAACTTGACAACTTATTTGAGGGACTCTCTGGCGATACTGCCGATTAAGATATGAGGCATGTTCTGTTTTGTCGTATACCAGATCCGAAAACAGGCACTACTTTTAACTACACGTAGTTAACTGTGTATTTTTTATCAGACTTGATAGGTTACTAAGGTTTGAAAATAACTGAATAAATTATTTGATCTAGTAAATTACACAGTGTTCTTATATTACTTGTATATGAATAACATACTGTTCGTTTTATCTGTATATCCTCCAGCGAAATCCTTTTTGTTCTCATCATGGTATTCTGCATGTGTAATTCCCCCTGTGCACAAAGCAGACTGGCCCTTTCTCTCATACAGCAAAATATCACCTGCTTGTTTTTCTAACAAGTCGTCTCCTAATTCGGTTGAACTTTGCTTTGTTTCAGCCTTAAAAAGTCACAAAAACAAAATGGTTTATGTTAAGTTATAAACTTACCATGAAAATTCAATGTACAATTTTAACTGTATTGGTATCATGATGATGCTATTAATATAGGTAAATATATATTTGTATATATTTAAAGACGATATCTATATGGTCTACTGCTCTATCCCTAATGCGGCCCAAACTATGCTTGTGCATATGACACCAGTACTGATTTCATAAAAACATAAATGCATGATGTTTAAACTAAATAATATACTACCGTTATCAAGCATCATTAACCCATTACTTCATATACACGCCTTTTAACGCCTTTTTCACTTCCCCTTTTTGTTGTCTCAAATGATGAAAAAATGCCTTATTTAGGCCCCAAACACTTGTTTTTGTTTGAGAAATGTTGTTAAAAAAAGTGACCTCTTTTTCGGCGCGGCCCCCCATCCAAAAGATACATCAGGGGGTTGCCAGAAGGGGGATGTGCCCCCTTCTGTTTGGGGGGTTTGAAGGGTGGCGGAGTCCCCCTCATCGCCAAGAAAATTTTGGACTTGTGAGAGGCTGTAAATGACCCCAGATTGATCATAAGGTAACGTGTAACCAACGCTGAAAAGCATTTGACTTTATCTCAATCCATTGAGAAGTTGCAGCACTTTGAAATCAATTTTGATGGAAAAATCAACGCAAAATAGTGATGTTTGGCAATTTTGAGATGTCCCCTCGTTGCCATGGTAACAGAAAATTTAAGCCTGAGCATGTTGTTGCAAGGGCAATGATCCAGTCAACATTTGTGCCAAGTTTGATTAGTGTTGAAGCAGTTTTTATAGTATTATAGCAAATTGAACTTGTAACAGGAGACTTTTCAATGAAAACAGCCATTTTTCACAAAATGCTCATGAAGTAATGGGTTAATTGGCATATGTCCAATATGTTTGCCTCTATCAAATATCCGTATGAAAGTAAAATTTTGTTTTAAAATTGAACTGAATGTTACTTAGAGAACACACTTCACAATGTAGAAGTTGCTTTCAAATAATAGTCATCTGGTAAAAATGCGATAATGCAATTTAACCCATGACGATAAGTGCAATTTTAAAGTTTATCACATACCCATGAAGCTTATTTTTGTCTCCGTAAAAGTTGTATAACACAGTTATGCATATATTTTGACGTGACCTGATATCTATTATAGTACAACCATCTAAACATAAGCGTTATGGTATAAGCGTCAGTCATAAAATAGTACTTTTAACTTAAAACTATTCTTATTTTAGGAATGTGATAAAAAGAATATTGTATTCATTACTAGTCCTATTGAAATCGTTAAATAAATAAATGTTATACTCGTCAGAGGCTCGACAATTTTAATTTTATTTAACTCGTTCAATAAATTCTGTATTAAACCTTCACACACCCAATATTCATTTATCATCGCAACATCATGTATTATGTTCATACCTTATTACGTGGAAGTTTTTCCCGTAGGTTTTCTTTTACAAACTTGCAGTCTTTATATAGTCCCTTATGTAATTCTGTCGGCGAGTCTCCTGGGCCTAGACGAGGAGTTAAGCCACAATCAATGCAAATTATCCTGTCTCCATCTAAAAGATAATGTGTTGCTAAATTAAGTTTGATACATTTATTTGCAAATTAAAGACCCATAGATGCTCCAGACTATCCAACTCAAAGATAATAAACATAAGTTAATATATCAATTATACCACTGTGTATAATCAGTGACGCAGAAATGTGGAAATCAGATTATGTCGTGCAGAATTTCTGCAAAGTTATGACCGACACTATACAGAAGTATTTTAATGAGGTTAAAATATGGCTTGTCAGTAACAGTAATCGCAGATCCATTTCTTTCAATTCGATTTACTATGAATATATTGGTCCATTTTCTTACCGTGGTGCCCGTTTCGGCCATAGAATCGTACAATTCTGCGTACAATTTTACACAATCCCTGCATTTTATTTTATGCTTTTCAGTAAATTACTGATTTATCCGTGAACATTATATTTTAATAATTTCCCAGTGAAAATTATCAAAATATAAATTCACACTATTCATTAACGAAACTACTTTTATATGTTTTACCCCATGTGGTACCTCAATTTTATTTTTGCTCAAAATTCTGACATTGTCAGGGCTGTTTAGAAAAATGCAAAGCTAAACTTGATAAATAACTTGAATTCAAAGGTAATAAATAAGAAAACTTACTTCAATTCATTTAAATTACCAATCACCAAATATTGTCTCTATTTTTTTTGTTTCATTTCTACAGTCTGAAAAATGCAATTCCTTCCACAAGCAAAACTGATGACATTTGGGCTTGTTTAAGTATCCTACGAGCAATTACTGCCTAATGCAATATGAAAACTTGAAAAGCAATGGCAGCCATTAGCCCAAAGAATAAGTTAACAACCCAGCGTTCGTAAGGCAGCCTTTCAACAATTCCATGTTTTCCAATTTCCTAGCCGCTTTTTGAATGTTTACACACCTGTCAACACTTCATTGTCTGTAACAATCCTAAAATAAGTATTCTTTCTTCTAAAAAAGATGTATGACTAACGAATCCAAATGATATCCCTCTGAATCAAACACAATTATTTTCATCCCGGGAAATACACAACTTATAAAAATGGCGACCGCTTACACTTAAAAAAGCCAGGTCAAATATAAATTCGTAGTAACGGAAATAAGGTCTGATGGTGTGACCTTTTTACTTCTACTAGAATTTTTTATCCCCTGCCGAAAGGTGGCGGGGGATATAGAAATAGTCTCCGTCCGTCAGTCCTTCCGTCCTTTCTTCCGTCCATCCATCCATCCGTCCCTCCGTCCGTCCTTCCGTCCGACATTTTTATCCGGAGCATATCTCAAAAAGTATTTAAGGTATCAACTTGAAACTTCATAGGTGGATAGATCATATTGAGGAGGAGTGCAGTGCACCAGAATGATAACACCACCCTGCATATTTTTTGAGTTATTGCCCTTTGTTATTTTTGAAACTTAATTTTTGTCCAGAGCATAAATCAAAAAGCCTTTGAGATATCAACATGAAACTTCATGGGTGGATAGTTCTTACTGAGGAGGTGTGCAGTACACAAGAATGATAACTCTACCCTTCATAATTTTTGAGTTTGTGCCCTTTGTTATTTTTCATACTTTATTTTTCACCTGAGTGGAGCATAAATCAAAAAGCCTTTGATATATCAACATGAAATTTCAAGGGTGGATATATCTTATTGAGGAGGAATGCTGTGCACAAGAATGATAACTCTACCGTTTATATTTTTTGAGTTATTACCCTTTGTTATTTTTCATACTTTTTGTCACGAGCGTATCTCAAAAAGCCTTAGAGGTATCAACTTGAAACTTAATAGGTGGATAGATCATATTGAGGAGGAGTGAAGCACACAAGAATGATAACTCTACCCTGCATAATTTTTGAGTTATTGTCCTTTGGTATTTTTCAAACTTAATGTTTGTCAAGAGCATAACTCAAAAAGCCTTTGAGATATCAACGTGAAACTTCATGGTTGGATATATCTCACTTAGGAGGTGTGCAGTGCACAAGAATGATAACTCTACCATTCATAATTTTTGAGTTATTGCCCTTTGTTATTTTTCATACTTAATTTTTCACCTGAGTGGAGCATTACTCAAAGAGTCTTTGAGATGTCAACATGAAACTTCATAGGTGGATAGATCTTATTGAGGAGGTGTGCAGTGCACAAGAATGATAACTCTACCCTTTATAATTTTTGAGTTATTGCCCTTTGTTATTTTTCATACTTTATATCAAAAAGTGTTAGAGGTATAAACTTGAAACTTCATAGGTGGATAGATCATATTGAGGAGGAGTGCAGCACACAAGAATGATAACTCTACCTGCATTATTTTTGAGTTATTGCCCTTTGTTATTTTCAGCCATCAGTAGTCACATAGGTTTCAAATCTGTAATCACTTCACCAATCAGTTTTCATAACCAAAAGACCTCTTTAGATTGAATTATTCTGCTCTACTACATATACATTCTCACAATGAGCAAACACATTTGGCGGGGGATGGTCATGCTAACATGGCTCTTGTTTTAATTAAAACAAGCGATCATTCATATTATTTTAAATAAAATGAATAATATCACCGCCATTAAACGTTGATTGTCGAACTTATTTTTCAACCCAATACTTCTTGTATTTTATGAGAAATTCGACTAATAGAGGCTACAAGTGGGGAAAAATATTTTAATATTAAAGTTAATATTAAGGAAATTTCGTTTTAACTTGTTTTTAAGCATAAAATAAAAAGAATATTTTCACATTCCTGCAGCAGCGTTACCTGTTAACACGGTGCATTTGGTAATTCTGAATTAAAAACTTATGTAATTTCTTTTTGCTACATGACTTACAACATTGTTTTTATTGATGTCATTTAACCGCTGTGCGAATTTGTTTGTCGTGTTGAGACGACCAACCGAATAACCGTTGTGAAACCGATTAACTTAATCCTAAACAAAAAGCACTGGAGTATCTCATATAACTTTCAGTAAGCAGGGTTTACAGTTGATATCTAGGGAAAGTTCTCAAAAACGATCTTTTACTTTTGTATACCGATAAGTAATTGGAAAAAAGTTCAAGGTGTTGCTAGTGATGATGATGACAATGGTCCACTGCCAGACATTAAAACTGTATCAAATTCTTTCTTGAATGCTCGTTCAATGAATTGCATTAAATTGATTACCATATTCACACTTGTGATAATAACGTAATAACTGGAATTAACAGGCGATTAACATTCGAAGGTCTGTCATGCACAGTAGTCTTTCAATCACATAAGCAAGTGAGGTGGTAGTTTAGCTCAAGAGCAGTGCATTCTATATTTGACAAACAAGCGAGCATTATGTACGACTCATTCAACATCAAACAGTCAAATATCATTTTTTAAAAAGATAAACACACAATAATATTTTAAATAAATAAAAATAAAAACAAATAACTAAAACTAAAAAAAAGTTTGTAGACATTTGCACTTTTCCTTATTCAGTTATACTTTCACACCTCTTTGGGTTATGGTTAACTCCAAATTTTGCAGTAATCAAATATATACTTTTCTCACTTACGTTCGTTAAACACCACTCGTCATATGTATCAGAAAACATGGCCCATCGATATGAACTTTAATAAAAATGTAAAATGATATGAAAAATACTTACTTAAATGACTGAAACCGGCCTTTTCTAAATCATTTTTCCATTTTTTGTTGTCTTCATAAGTTTTGGTAGCCATTTTTAGATAATTCAGTATTCAAGTCCGTCAAACACCGGATATTTGAATTCGGAATGAGGTAATTATATATTGTAAGGAAAAAAAATAACGTACCGCAACATATACGTTTCCGAAAGGCAAGGTACGGGCGCTAACTATTGTATGGCTGTCATCGTTGTACTGCACATGTTAATTTTCGGTGATCGCCAAAACTTTTGGAAGCAAACAGACGGGTTCGACTATCTAAAGTAAATTCGTGAAGTCACTTTAGTCTTAAAAAAATTAAAGTTTGTGCATGTCTTAACCTCTCTTTATATTTTCTCGGCAATTACCTTTCCCGACTTTGAAACATTGGTGAAATGTTTACTTGATTTAGACCATGTCAAATGTGACAGAGGTGGTGATTTTGGCCTTGTATGAAAGTCGCAAAATGAATGTAATCAGAAGTTTTTACAGATAAATGCGTAGCACTTGGCGGTTTCGGTAGATTCAACCAATGTTACCGATTTATGATATTTTTGAAAATATTTGTTTAACCAAATCAAATTGATTCATAATGATTATATACTTTTTCACTTGCATCTCAAAATAAAATCATAAAGCCTTTTTGACTGTACATGGAGAGGATATGTGAGTCTGACCATGCTATATTTGATATCATTATATTTAGAAGTCTGGGTTTCCTTGTTTGCTTTTATCGGCGACGCTATGCTATATTTGGTGTCATATATTTAGAAGTCACGTTTGCTATTTTTAGTAATATGCAACGTTTATTTATAACTATCGGTTCAGATTGGTGTTTGTAACGAATGTATTTATTTTACAGTCTGTATAATTTATTTAACTATGATAAAATAGTTTGATAACCATCTCATGCAAGCTTATCCGGATAAAATTCAGGCAATTCGTATTGGAAAAAAACAAAACAAATGAATTAACAACTTTTAATCCTAATAGTACAAAAATCGTTTGTGAAAAAAATGTACACTTTCTTAGTGTTGAAATTGATTCTTTTTTAACTTTGACCTATATTTACTCATATCAAATATTTGCAAAAAGGCTGTAAAACAAATAAACATCCTGGCTAGTAAATTTAAATCAGAACACAAGATTCTTTATTTACAAATCCTTTGTTCGCTCAAACTTTAAAGTGACATTATGCCCAACCAAGGATAGATAGTGAGTGAACAGGTGAAAGTCAAAATAAGTTTTCATTTTGTCATAATTCCTAATAATTTAATAATTTACTTTGCATAAACAATAAATAACGCAAGGATCCAAGCAAAATTTCTGTAAATATCCATTAGAATTTACCTGTAACGTTCAGATTATAAAAAGAGTGGGGCAGTCTTTTTATTCTTTAGGCATATTTAAATTTTATCCTAAACATTTTCCAATATCAACTGTTGGTCAAACACCATTTTAACAGTCAAACTTTTGAAATATAAAGACAATTCAGCTGAACTTGACTATAAAAATATGAGCATAATGTCACTTTAACTATTGTCTATTGTCTATGGAAGCCCTGGAAGGATATTTGAAAATAATATTTAAAACTTAAAACTTATTATTTAATTCTTAATATTTAAGATTTAATTCTTAGTATTTAAAAATTAATTCTTAATATTTAAAAAGTAAGAACAGAATACATAAGACGCGAATTTTTGAATTCAACGGTCTCTTGCAAAAGGTTGTTTCACGAAGAAAAACTGGCTGCTTACAGGTAATTGCCATTTTTATATATAAAATAAACATTCCGTGAACTATAATATCTCGATTGTTATATTTTTTATGCTAACAGCTGAAACGATTAAGATATGTTAGTTTTATGAAAGACGCCAGATACGGTGCAGCTTTACATTTTATTGATTACATGGGGTCATAAGCAGCGGTTGAAAAAGTTCATAAATATATTTTGTTCTGGTTGAAGTGTTAAAACTGACAGAAAAATACCTGCTAGTCAGGGGGTTCGGTTTGTCTTACGATAATGTTTAGTTGTTGGTGGTTGGTACATATTTATAGCCCCAGCCCTTTGTTTTTATAACGCTATATTTCATTTATTTCTATTTCTTTTAAGGTCATAAACATTGAGATCCCGTTGATGTTTGCTTCGTCATTTTATTGGAAGTGACTCCTGTGTCAACAATTGTGTCATCCCTATTGCCATTTGGGAACGGAAGCAGCAGGTTAGAAGTGATTACGCAGTACTTTCATGCTGACTTCATGTGCGCAGACATAGTTCTACATCTCCATAAGTCTTGGTCTTCGTCAGTTAAAGAGGATACTTCGTTGTAATAATAAAGGGCGCCAACGTGTCATGTATACTCCACAAGAAATCGTACAAGTACAGTAGAAAAAGAATTGCAGTTTAGTGGAGACGGCTTATGGTACCAATGTGGATGAATACGTTGAAGAATTTGAGAGCTCGCGGACGAATTGATACGGCAAACCCTATTCATGCAGAATGCTTGCGATTTTATGTAACGGATGTTCTTCAAGCGTGACTTTCTCGCATTGTATTCACACTGGAATTTACACGATATGTGACCACAGATACATGTAGACATTTGTACTGGAAGACCACAAATAAAATGTTGTTTTATGTACTAGAACTATCAGGTTCTACTGATTATGGTGTTAATGTTGATTCTTAGGATATTGAATATGAAACAAATCCAGATGATTGAACATTAGACAATTGTAACGAAGTTGGTAGAACGTCATAATGAGCATGATAATATGCAAATACTTAAGTTGTTGAATTACATAAGGGAATACTTCCCGTATATAAGGACATAAAGTACTCTCGGTGCTGAGCTAGCTTTTCACCGACAGGGTTTGTGTGCCTTCAAAACGTTACATTTGATGGCCAGTCTGGGGGATGTTGACAACTGCCAGACCGGAGTTGCCGTACCCACGGATTCCCAGGCCAAGTCTCGGGACGAGACTTCTCGGAGGGGAAAGTAATGTAACGACATTGGTAGAACGTCATAATGAGCATGATAATATGCAAATACTTAAGTTGTTGAATTAACATAAGGGAATACTTCCCGTATATAAGGACACAAAGCACTTTCGGTGGTGAGCTAGCTTTTCACCGACAGGGTTTGTGTGCCTTCAAAACGTTACACAATAATATATATTCTTTTTAATGAATAAACATTGATGTTCATGGTTTTCCGAAGTATGTGCTTTTTTAATTAAAGTTTCTAGGACGATATCGAGTTCGCGTAGTTATTGTCATTAATCTAACGGAAAATAAATAATAAAATAACTAAAACACGAGACCTCTTTTGAAACATTCTGATTCTACATTGATGATTGCATGACAAATCTGACTTAGAGTAAACATTACTAGAAATCTAAGTAAACCGTATGTAGGAAATTAGATGATAAATCTTAAGAGCTCTTTGTAGACAGAAATAAAAATTTGCCAAATTTTTTCCGGAAGGGGTCAAATTTTAAAACTTTTTAACCGCGAAAGCCCAAGTTTCAACTTTGACCTACGTATATGACCTATGATAAAGTAACAAGTTGTTCCAACTGAAATAAGACTTGTAGTGTTCAAAATGATTTTCTTTGATTTGATCTATTTTTTTAACCATATGACCCAGTTTCAAACTCGACCTAAAGATTATCCAGACAAATATTCTCATAAACTTTTAAGTTGATCAAGTTGAAAAATCAGCATCTAAAGTGTTCTCTATGTGTCTGTATTCTCGCTTGTTTGGTGGTCCCATCTCTTGAAACTGGTTTTGGTTCGGATATATCTTCATTGTAAGGCAGGGTTGTCCATATATCAAATGAGCTGGTGTAATTGGTTCTGGGTGTGTTGACTCTGACGTAACGTAAGTCAATGGACGGTCGTTCATGACGCTTTTTACCTCTGTTACGATTGTTTGGAGAGTATCGTAAGTGACGTATGCATTCCAAGAACCTTTTTGATAGCTGATTTGGTAAGACCAATTAATCTTACCCACCAACCACCAAACCAGGGAGCGCGCTTGGGCATCAATCTCCACTCTGTATCATGGTTGTGTAACGTGTCTTTTACGGAAGTTGAATTCATTAATTGGCGTATTGTATTTGCTGCTGCTTGAAAAGTTGTTCCGTTATCAGATATCATCACCTTCGGTAGAGATTTTCTGCTACTGAATCGCCTGAACGCTTGTAAAAATGAAGATTCAGTCATATCTGAGACTACTTCTAGATGAACAGCTCTGGTCGAAGCACAGGTAAAAAGACAAATGTATGCCTTCTCATTTTTGTTTTTTCCTCGTACATTTAAAGCTTCGGTGAAATCAACTGCAGTCACAGTAAAAGGTTGTGTGTCTTGAACTCGTATCTTTGGCAAAGGTGGTGGATCTGGCGCTGTGTACGGTCTTCCTGACACTCGGCGGCACTGGTTACACTTCCGGAGTAATTTCTGGATACACTGGCGTATCGATGGAATCCAGTATTTCTGGCGTATATGGGTAATAAGTGCACTCCTACCTGCGTGTAAGTGTCTTTCATGGGCGTCTATAATTATAAGTTTTGTCAGTTGGTGGTTTGCCGGAAGCAGATATGGGAATCGGGTTTGCTCAGCTAAATGGGCGTTATGAATCCTACCAACACAGCGAATGAAACCATTATTGTCAAGGTATTGTAGTTGCCTAACAAGCGTCAGGTTTCTCCTTCCGGTCTTGATACATGTAATCACAGCGCTATAGGTGGTTGCTTGGCAATTATGAAGCCACATCTTCTCAGCATTGGCAAGTTCTTTTACAGTAAGGCAATGTTGAATGAATCTCATCATGTAGGCTGTCACTCTAAGAAGCTTTCTATAACGGCTAAATCTGTTGATATCAATGACATTGTGAATGCCGTAGGTTGTCATGGTAACAAGTGTATCATCTTGTTCTTCTGCGAGTAAAACAGTTGTTACAACAGCTGGTTGGCTCGGGTACCGACTTTCATCAGTTAACCAATCAGGACCTTTCTCCCATAATCTACTCTTCAGAAATTCAGTAGCTGTAATTCCTCTTGTCAACATGTCAGCCGGATTGTGCTCGGTCGGACAGTACATCACGGCACGGCACCAAAATGTAAAAGTGTTCAGTGAAAT